CATACCCAGTGGGGAGTGTGCAGGAGGCAGCTGATCGATGTTTCTCTCTCATCGATGTTTCTAGCTCTCTGTCCCTCTCCCTTCCTCTCTGTACAAAATCAAAATATTAAAAAAAAATGCTGTTTTATTGTTGCCTTGCTTTGTGTGTTGTTTTTGGAAAGCCTAATTCCAGATTAGTTCATTTGTCTACATAAGTTATTTAATCTTTTTGCCTAGAGGCCTTGAGACTATAATTTTGTCTTCTTTGATATTTAATAGATTATTAGGCTATGTCTAGGATTTGATAATTTTGATTAATTTCCCCAGGAATGCAGTGTAATCTTTCAATATGTAGACTGAGGTCTTTAATTTTGAAATTTGGGAGGGGGATTATAGATTAAAATTTTTAATTATTTTTGTTCCATTTTTTTTCCTTTCCAGTGATTGCAATTATACAACTGCCATTCTTTCTTTGCTTCTCTTTCAATTCACCAATTTCTTTCTGATCCCTTTAACTTCCTTCTATGTTTTATTTTTCTGCATTTTTAAATGCATGTTATTAAATTTTCTTGAGTCTACTTTCCCTTGGGAACCTTTTAATTTACGTTCACTTATAATTTTGCCTTTTTCTTCCATTTATTTTCACAGTTCAATCTTCTCTGTTTTCTCTTGATTCTTTGAAAGTCTGAATCGAGGTGATTTTTTTTCATACCTCCAAATATTTGTTTGCATGTGTTTAATTTAGTTTGGAATGTTGTCTTGCAGTTTTTTTATGCTTCATAGTTGTTTTCTGAAATGGAATGTTTTATCAGTTGAGGTGTGTCGAACCTTGTTCTCTGATGTTTTGGTAATAACTCTGTATAGATTTACTGAGCAGTCCTCTAGAATTTTTGTGTATGCGTGATGGTTTCTAATATTTCTAGTTTAAAGGCACACCATCTTCTGCTATTGTATCAAAGTCCAGAGTCTTTATTTTTTATTTTGGTGGTGAAGGGAGGAGTTGTGTTTCTCTGATTTTTTTCTATTCTCTTTTTTTCTTATAGGACCCTAAATGTTCTCTTTTTCTTTCATTTTCCCTTCAACACCCAGTTACCAAAAGCTGTTTCTCACTTCTCCTTGGCCTTTTATTTCTTCCGTAGAAGCCATGCCTTTTGAAGATTGGTACTTCAAATTATGCATACTTTTAAGTTACTTCCCTGTACTCTGTGCTCTGGTCTACAAGGGCACTTAAAATATTTTCATATTTGAGGAGAACTTATTCTTTCTTTCAATGATTTTAGATCAACATTAGACCCATGACTAGCTCTCTTATTCCCTACAGTGTTCCCTCCCCCCTTCCCCGCCCCCCCCCCCAGCCTGCCCTTGCTCACTACAAAAGTTTATGATGTAGCATGAATGTGAGAGACTACTTGCTGGGATTTAGTTTTGTTTTTTTTTTATATAAACTTAGAATTATTTTAGGTTTGGGGATTTCTGTGCCTTCAAGTTATGTTTACTATGTGGTTTTCATGGCTTTTAAGTTTTTTGTTATTATGTACTAGAGGCCCGGTGCACGAATTCATGCATGGGTGGGGTCCAGCTGGCTGAGGCGAGGGGACGCAGGCAGTTGGCTGGCTGGCCCCGCCCCCCGGTCAAACTCCCAGTCGAGGAGACAATTTGCATGTTAGCCTTTTATTATATAGGATTATTTTGGGAGGAAATATTGGGAGACACAGACCAAGGCAGCCACCATTGTCTTCAGTAATCAGGAAGTCTTTAGAAATTTTCTTAATTGAGTTTAGAGAGGAGGGGAGAGAGTGGGAGAGAGAGGGAGAGAGAGATAGAAGCATCCACAATGAGAGAGGATCATGGGCTGCCTCCTGCACACCACACACTGGGGATCGAGCCTGCAACCCAGGCATGCACCCCAACCGGGAATCAAACCGTGACCCCCTGGCTCCTAGGTCAACACTCAACCACTGAGCCATGCTGGCTGGCCTGTAAGTCTTATTAAATAGTCTTTTTTTTTTTTTTTTACATTTCCTAACTTATAAACACCAGATCCACCATTCCTTACTCTGCTGAGTTCACAACTTACCATTTTCTTTACCTGAATGTCTCAATGTCCTTCTAACCCTTGTTGATCATAAAGCAGATCTCATAACTTGTATATAAGAGGGCCTATCCCCAGATACTAACTGGTACACACTTACCTTCTTTTTTTTAAAAAAAAGAAATATGTCTTGTTTTTAAAAATTATGATTCTGTAGGGTTTCTTCCCACCACAATGTGGTATAGTTGGCAGAATCCAGAGTAAAATGAGTCCTAGGAAGAGTAGAGGTGATCTATAGGATGTGGGACATGTACACATTGCAGGACATCCTGATGTTTAACTACCATGAACTGAATTGTGTGGCCCTACCCCCAAATTCATGTGTTGAAATCATAGCCTCCAGTGTGAATGTTTATCGAGGTGGGGCCTTTGGGAGATAATTGAGGTTAATGGGGTCATAAGGGTGGAGCTCCGACGATGGGATTAATACCCTTATAAGAAGAGGCAACAGAGAGCTCTGGATTTCTCTTTCTCTTTTTCATGTGAGTGCGCAGCAAAAGGCAGCTGTCTTTATGCCAGAAAGAGAGTTCTTGTTGAAACCTGACCATGCTGGTATTCTGATCTCAGATTCCTGGCCTCCATAACTATGAGAAATAAACGTCTGTTATTTAAACCACCCAATTCATGGTATTTTGTTATGGCAGCCTAGCACACTAAGACAGATTTTGGTACTGAGAAATGGGATGCTACCATAACAAATACCTAAACATGTGGAAGATACTTTTTAAGTGAGTAATGGATAGAGGCTGGAATAGTTTTACGGTACATGCTAGAAATATCACTGTTAGAGGCAATTCTAATGAAGGCTCAGAGAGAAAAGAGGAGTGTTAGAGAGAAAACTTCCATCTTCTGAGAGAACACAAAAATAATAATAGACTGAATGTTCCTAGAAATGTGAATGTTAAAGGCTGTTCTGGTGAGAACTCAGTTGGAAATGAGAAATGTGTTAATGGAAAAAAGGACATTCTTGTTATAAAGTGGCAAGGAACTTGGCTGAATTGTGTTCTAGTGTTTCACCACTGATCATAAATGCCACCTTATCAGATAAGTTTTCATACATTTCTCTTTTTTAAGTTTATCTTTATTGTTGAGGGCATTACAGATATCCCCCCCCCTTTTTTCCCCCTCATTGACCCCCTCCATCCCGCCCCTACCCCTTCCAGGCCTTCACCACACTATTGTCTGTGTCCCTGGGCTATGCATATATGCATATAAGTTCCCTGGTTAATCTCTTTTTCCCACCTCCCCTCCCTCTGAGATTCACGAATCTCTCTTCCACTACTATCTGTTTTTGCACCAACATGTAATGCTTTCCTAATAAGAAAAAAATTCCTTTTCTATTAAAAAAAATATGATCCCAATGGGTAAAAATTTCCTTCCCATATTAAGTAATTTGCATCAGTCAGAGAAGAGGTTGCTGGTACTGGACTCATCTAGAACCCCATCTTGGAGTCCTGTGTCTGCCCAAGTTGGAAAAACACATGTATATTTACCTGCTCATAAAAACACATCCATCTCAATTTTCACAGAGATTGTGCTATGCAAAAGCTATATGACCAAATGGAACTTGTCTGAGGTCAGGCTGGGGGAACATGTAAGAATGCATTTCTGTTATATAACCTTGTGCTTACTCTTTTCGTAATATACCTGCATTGTAATTGCATGTCTAAGTACCTGTCACCATTATTGAACTGTGTGTTTTGTGAAAACAGATACTATTCCTTTGGCATGAGGCTGAATTGTGTTTTCACATACTTCATAGGGTTGTTGGGAGGATTAAATAACTAAGTAGTAATTTAAACATCGTAAGTAGTCAAGAAATTACTGAATGGAATTGTATTGAGATATCTAAGAAGATAATAATCCTTTTGTCTAAGAGGATAATTCTGAGCTATATCGGTACCTATGGAGTTAGATAACAATTGTCATAGCTACCCATCTTGTTATGTGCTGGAACTTGTGGTGACGTGAATACACTTTAAGTATGGTGTAACCCATAAAAACGTCTATTGATGAATTTTAGGGCAAGGAGCCTTTAAAGAAGCCTTGTTCTTTAAAATCATGGATCTTTCAAAAATTTCAGGTAGACTCCCAGAGGAGAGGTTGCTGGGTCATATGGTAACTCTATTCTTAGTTTTTTGAGGAACCGCCATACTGTTTTCCATAGTATCTGTACCAGTTTACATTGTCACAAGCAGTGAATGAGAGCTGCTTTTTCTCCACAACCTCTCAAACAGCTATTATTACTTGTCTTGTTGATAATGGCCATTCTAACAGGCATGAGCTGGTATCTCATTGTAGTTTTGATTTGCATTTCTTTAATAGCTAGTGAAGTTGAGCATCTTTTCATATATCTGTTAGCCATTTGTATTTCTTCTTGAGAGAAGTGTCTGCTCAGGTCTCGGCCCATTTTTTAATTGGATTGTTTGTTTGGTGTTGTGTTGCATGAATTCTTTTATCTGCAAGATATATGCACCCTTATGGTCATTGTAGCATTATTCATGATGGCCAAGGCATGGAGACAACCAAAGTATCCTTTGGTAGATGATTGGATAAGAAAGATGTGCTACATATATACTATGGAATACTACTCAGTCATAAAGTCATAAGAAGAGATGAAATACTGCCATTTGTGACAACATGAATGGACCCTGAGCAAAATAAGTCAGTCAGAAAAAGCTAAGAACCATATGATTTCACTCATATGTAGGATGTTAAAACCAAATCTCATATACACAGACACCAATATGGTGGCTACCAGAGGGAAGGTGAATGGGGGGCAGTAAAGGGTAAAGGGGGCCAAATATATGGTGATGGAAGATGATTTGACTTTGGCTGGTGGGTACACAATGCAATATACAGAACATGTATCCAAGGAATGTACACTTGAAACCTATAAAATCTTATTAACCAATGTCACCCCAACAAATTTAATAAAGATATTTTAATGCAAAGATCAAAGCCATGGTATGGACAATAAAATGGAACTTCAGGGTCAGAGTTAATTAAAAAAATCATAGATATTAAAAAACCTTACTCTTTGAAATCATATCAGTGAGAATAGAATGCTCTGAGCTATTCAGAGAAGCCACAACCACACCATCTAGTTCAGGTGCAATTTCTCACATCAGGGATCTTCCAGCAAAGAGGAGATACCACATTATACATTCATCTTAACTCTGTGGTTTCCAAGGACAGGAGCCCTTCCTATGTTGAGGACTGTTAAGCTTTTACTTATTGCCGTACTTTTCTTTGAACCTATTAAAACATTGCCTCATTTAAATTTTACCTAAACTCCCCCCTTCCCCAAAAGCCTGTAATAAGACTGTGCCTTTCTTTTTTTTGAGGCTGAACTTTGTTTCTCCTGTGAAGGCATAAGAGTTAAGCTCAGCTTTTGTTTTCAGATTTGAGAGATTTGATTGTATTTTAACATGTAAATGAGTATATATAGCAATGGAACCTTTTCAATTTTGTAGAAAGCTGTGTGATTATCCTCTAAGAAAGTGGTGCCTTATCCTTTTAAGGTCAGCAACAAGACCTTTGGTAAATCAGATTTCTTGGTTTCCTTTTTATTGCTAATGAATAAAAAATCAGATTTATTTTGCACCTTTGCCATATATTTGCTTCCAATCTTTTAAAAATTATGTTTTATCTAATGAATGCTTGCTCATTTAACAGCAATATCATCTAGTCTGAAAGGTTTAGTCTCATCTCTATGAGGCAGTAATGTTTCTAGGTGTTGAATGCCTTCTAAGACCAGTTGGTCTTGATATCTTCCTAGAGCTGATTTAAAAAATCATTCTTTTAGGATTTTCCTCTCTGATATGCCCACTCTCTGATTTTATTATTCACATCAGATAAACTCATGCATATATTAAAGTAACAAAAATAGAAAACTGTTTTAATGGTTTAGATGGATTTTTTTCTAAGCAGCAGTTTGAGATCGTGCCTCTACTTATGTCATTTGTAACTTCAGCCATCTGTTGATCTTACATATGATGCATTCTAGGAATTCAGTCAAATAGCAAAAGATCTTGGTGCTTTCCATATCATTCAGGATTTCAGTAGTTATACAGGAATCGCAGTGGTCATGCCATGGAAATAAAGAAAATTAAGCAAAAATATGAAGACCTTTAAAACACACAGTGGCCAGATACAGAAAATGCAGCATGGTGTGGTATTGTGTTTTGTTTTGTTTTCATAAGAGAGTTATATAGAGTGCTTTTTCTGTTGGAAGAGCTTCCCTAACTACTGTTTAGCCACACTTGCATAGGTATGTTCAATTTCTTTGTCTTCAGGACATGTGTGGGCAAATTCTTCACGGGCATAGGCATTGTGGAGATAGCGCCAGACTCCCGAGAATTCTGCTGGAATGTCAAAGTCACGGTATTTCTTGGCAGCAATCTAGGGTTTTGGAAAAAGCAGTTGGCAGTTAAAGGCATCAGTAACATGCCCAGTGTGTAGAAACATATTTCAAAAGTCAAGATCACTGTGGACATGCTATCTGCACAAAAAGTACTGCTAAATAAAATGAAAGAATCTTGAAATTACTACTCTAATGTTTAGCGTACAAATGTAGACAAAGCTATATGCCTACAATCATATTTATATTACGTTGTATTTAATGTTTAGAAGAAGGGAGCAAAGAAAAAGAGCACATATTTCCCCATTAAACTAAGAGGTTGTTTAGGGTCCCAACTATGTCATTACTTTATGAATTCTATGTATCTGGCATAGGACATGAGATAGAATAAATTCTGTTCAATAAAAATTTGATGGTGAGTAAATTATCATAATAATATCAATAGCCCACATTATTTATCACTTGTTATGATCCAGACACCATTCTAAGCATTTAACATGTCCTAATTTATTTAATTTACTCAACAATTCTGTGAAATGGGTAATATTATTCTTTTAAAAAATATTTTAAAATTTATTTCAGAGAGGAAGCGAGAGGGAGAAAGAGATAGAAACATCAATGATGAGAGAGAATCATTGATCGGCTGCCTCCTGCACGCCCCACACTGGGGATCAGCCTGCAACTTCGGGCATGTGCCCTTGACCGGAATCGAACTCGGGACCCTTAAGTCCGAACGCCGACGCTCTATCCACTGATTCAAACCGGCTAGGGCTGGGTAATATTATTCTTGTCTTATAGCCAAGACAGTGGAAAACCCCTGATATAGGGAGAAATAATACTTTTTTATGCTTTTCAGGGGAGATCATGGATTTTTCCTTTGAGGAGAGAAAAGATGTACACACTATGCATAATGATGATGCTAAAGCCATCATATAACAACCTCACACAGAATGGTCATGTGATTCGTGCTGGCAATTCCCAAACCCAGCTCAAACCATTTAGGCTACCTTATGAATACTTACTTTAATAACGTTCAGCTTGGGTAACAAGCTGCAGTCAGCCAGTGTCAGATCATCCCCATCCAAGAACAATCTTCTGGAAACTGAGAGTTCCTCAGTACTGTCTGGATCAATTTCATCCAGAAGTGGGGTGTTTAAGTAGTCATCCAGACGCTTAAATTCTCTGAGCAGTGCTCTTTCAAAATCTGAGGCAATGAAGTCATAGGGTTACTTATAAATGTATTGTCTTCATGACTAAATACATTCTCAATATGCTTTTCACACATTTAAACATCTCTAGCTATACAGGCTCCATACACTGGCTCTTAAAAAATCTAAATAGTTAACTAGAATGCTCAACTAGCCACTGATAAGACTGAGTACGATGTTTAATCAAATGATGAGTGGAAATATTTCTGGATTTTTCTTGAAGAGATGCATTGGGAGGAGAGGCAGAGAGGGAAAAAGCAAGTGATATGTTATCCTTCAGCCCAGAAGAGTAAGAAAGTGGAATCAGAGACTAATAGCTCTCATGACTCAGAGGATAGTAAACTTCAAGAATGTTTGGGAGCCCTAGCCTACGTGGCTCAGTGGAAAGAGTGTTGGCCTGCAGACTGAAGGGTCCCGGGATCAGTTCCAGCCAAGGTCACGTACCTCAGTTGCAGGCTCGATCCCTGGTGGTCAAGGCACGTGCAGGAGGCAACCAATTGATGTGTGTCTCTCACATCGATGTCTCTCTCTCTCTGTCTTTCCCTTCCACTCTCTAAAAAAATCAATGGGGAAAAATATCCTTGGGTGAGGATTAACAAAAAAAGAAAAAAACAGAGAATGTTATGTGCTATGGTTTAAGAAACCTTAGTAAAAGTACACAGGACTGGGAAAATTCGGAGGGGGGCATCTAACAAATCCAGTCCTGCAGTTAGTTTACACCTGGCATGCCAATGCTCTAGATGAGCTACATTGGTAATTTCTATATTGAATCTTGGGCTCTAAATCTAATAAAACTTCATGCAAAGGAATTTCAGAAAAGAGAGCAGGGACTGAGAGGAAGGGTATTCTCCAACATATACTATATATTTTAAAAAATCCTATTTTAGCTGAGTGAGAATGAGCAAGTGAGTGAGAAAAACAGAGATTTAAAGAAAAGTTATCTTACTCTTATTTGCCTCCTTTTGTGTATTCTTAATATATGCAGAAAACTTGGCAAAGATGTTACTGCCCACATCAAAGGACTCCTTGTTCTTGGGACTCAAGCAAGGGTACCTTAAAAAGAAACATCACTGCAGTATCATTCACACATAAAGGGACAGAGACCAGGTGTCCTAGCTTGCATGCTACTGAGAATGAAGGTTTTGGAAATTGTGTTGGAAACTGAAGGTCCTGAGAATTCTCTCATTGGAAATACATATTTTCCCAATCTCAGAATAATTTAGTTTATAAAGTTCACTTGGAAACCAGTTGTCTGAAAGTCAAAGTTCATTTACCTATAGAAACAATGTTTCAAATGGTAATTAGGTTCCCACACTTGCTCCTGTAAGTCTCTTTGGCATTAGATATGGTGGTAATACATTTTCAAAGATACGGTAAATAGTAGGAAAAAATATAGCTTCAAATATTGTAACTTATAAAACAAATGAAGGAATAAAGGAGATGGAGATGATGGAAAACAGTAGGCAAGATGTCCTCTTCTAAGTAATACAAAGATCATTTAGGATAATAAAAAAAATTAAGTGATAATTTCATTACATTTACAAATTAAATAAGGAAAAGCAGATGATCACGAATAGATGCAGAAAAAGTATTCAATGAAAATCAATTCCTAATAATAAAACACCTCCTAGCAACTAGAAGTGGCCAGGCCAAATATTCATCTTCCTTGATTCCTCCCTTAATCTCCATCCCCACCGGATCCATTAGCAACTCCAGCCAGTTTACTTTTCCAAATGTACCCAGAATCTGTCCACTTCTCACCACCTCCACTGCCCACTTCTTGGTCCAAAGCCTATATTACTGCAACCGCCTGGTAACTATTCTCTCTATTCCTATGCTTGTCTCCCACACAACAGACTATTCTCTAACTGCTGTGAGAGCAGTCATGTTAAAATATGTCATGTGTGTCTCCCCTACACAATACCCTGCAGTGTTCCCATCTCACTCAGACTCAGAGCTCAAGTCTTCACAGAGGTCTACAGGGACTGGTGGGATCTTGTGCCACTTTACCCCTCTGTTCTCATCTCTTCTTTTCTTCCTTACATACACTGAGTGGCCAGATTATTATAACTGGCCAGATTATTATGACCACCCCATCAGTACAGTGAAGTGAATTAGTTATTCAAATAATAACAATAATAATAATAATAAAACCTTGAGAGTATTTGCTTAGGAAGTTTTCAATATTCAGTATTTTTGGAAGTGTCAATGAAGTACTGATGGGGTGGTCATCATAATCTGGCCACTCAGTGTATTTCAATACTGGATCATTTGCTGTTTTTCAAATAGGCCTAAGAGGCTTCCAACCCAGGGCATTTTCACTTGGTTTGCACTTAAATGGAGTGCCTTCCCTCATATATGCACATGATCTGCATCCTCTCTTCTTTCAGGTCTTTTTTTCTACTAGCTCTCTTGTGTGAGCCTTTCTCTGGCCACCCTAGCTAAGACTGCAACCTCTCCCCTGTCCCAAACACTCACTGTTTCCCTCCCTTGCCTCATTTTTTCTTAGTATTTATCATCATCTAACGCAGTTTATATTTGTTTTTTATCTTGATTATTTACTGTCTTCTCCAACTAGAATGTAAGGTCTACCAGGCCAGAGAGTTTTTGCCCGTTTTATTCACAAATGTGTCCCAAGTGCCTTGAATAGTACCCACTCCTTAATAAGTATTCAGTAACTATTTGTTGAATGATTACATGAATTCATTAATGTTGTTAACTTGATAAAAGGAATGCATCAAAACCTTTCAGCAAGCTTCATATAAAATGGTAAAATGTTTTGGGGAAGTGCAAATCAAAGCCATAATGAGATTATTACCTCACGCCTGTTAGAATGGCTATTATCAACAAGACAAGAAATAACAAGCTTTGGAGAGGATAGGAGGAAAGGGAACCCTCACACACTGCTGGTGGAAGAGGATGTGGAGGAAAGGGAACCCTTGTGCACTGCTGGTGGGAATGCAGACTGGTGCAGCCACTATGGGAAACAGTATGGAGGTTCCTCAAAAAATTAAAAATATAACTTACATATGACACAGCAGTCCCTCTTCTGGGTATTTACCCCCCCCCCCAGATTTGAAGACACTTATTTGTAAAGATATATGTACTCCTATGTTCATTGCAGCATTATTCCCAATAGCCAAAACATGAAAGCAACCTAAGTGTCCTTTTATAGATAATTGATGAAAAGCCTATGTTACATACTGGGTAGGGCAAAGTAGGTTTACAGTTGTTTGTATGAAAATAATACAATAATTAATAAATAATGATACAAGATTAAACTCTGTGATTCACATATAACTGTAAACCTACTTTTGCCCCACCCTGTATATACAGTGGAATAATACTCAGCCATAAAAGATGAAATACTGCCATGTGCAACATTGGTGGACTTTGAGGGTATTATGCTAAGTGAAACGTCAGAAGGAAAAGGACAAACTCATATGATTTCACTCATGGGATATAAAACAAAAAAGAAAAAGAAATGAACAAACAAAAGACAACAAAAACAAACTCATAAATACGGACAACAGATTGGAGATTACCAGAGGGGAAAGAGTGTGGGTAGGGCAAAATGGATAAGGGGGTCAAATATATGGTGGTGGATGGAAAGTAGACTTGGGTGGTGAGTACACTATAGTGTATACAGATATTGAATTACAATGTTGTACACCTGAAACTTGTATAATGTTATTAGCCAGTATTACCTCAAAAAATAACAAATATTTTTAAAAAGGTGATATATTCATGTTGTTGCACATAGCAAGATATCATTTTTTATTGCTGCATAATATTTCATTGTATACATATCACATCTTCTTTATCCATTTATCTATCTTTGGACATCTAGATTGGTTCTATATTTTGACAATTGTAAATAATGCTGCAATGAACATAGGGGTGCATACAAGGTGGGGCAAACGTAGATGTACAGTTGTTCATAAGGAAAATAATGCAATCATTAATAAATAACAATACAAGAATAAACTGTGTTTCATGTATTCACAACTGTAAACCTACTTTTACCATACATTGTATATCTTTATGAATTAGTGTTTTGCCATTTGTGACAACATGAGTGGATCTAGAAAGTATTGTGTTAAGTGAAATAAGTCAGGTAGAGAAAAACAAGTCCTGTATGGCTTCACTTATATATGAAATATAAAAATAAAAACAAACAAAACAAAAACATATCTGTAGAAACAGACAAAAGGGTTACTAGAAAGGATGGGATGGAGGTATGGATGAAAAAAAGGAAGGGAAATATAGTCAATAATATTGCGATATGTTTACAGTGAGAGATGATTACTAGAATTAGCAATGTGATCACATTGTAAGGTATAAAAATGTTGAATGACTATATTACATATCTTAAACTGATATACAAATATAAGGTTCAATACCAACTATACTTAAATTTAAAAAAGAAAAAAAGGTGAAACGTTAGAACTAATTTTTTAAAACCAGCCAAGAACAAGGATAATCATTATCACTACTGCTCTTTCAACATTGTGCTGAATGTACTAACCACTAAGACAAGAAAAAAAAATCACTCTATATGGTGACTCTAAAACCATTCATATTAAATTTAAGAACAAACAGAAACACCTTAAATTGCTATTACAGCTGATACTGTGTTTTGATCCTCCCCCGAGGATATGTTTATTTTTATTTTGTGTGTGTGTGTGTGTGTGTGTGTGTGTGTGTGTGTGTGAGAGAGAGAGAGAGAGAGAGAGAGAGAGAGAGAGAGAGAGAGAAACATCGATTGGTTGCCTCCCTACTGCCCTGACAGGGATCGAACCCACAACCTAGGTATGTGCCCTGACCGGAATTGAACCTGCAACCTTTTTGGTGTTCGATGCCCCAACCAACAGAGCCACCCAGGCAGGGCAATAGCTGATATTGTTTTTGACATTCTAGCAAGTGGTGGAAGACACTATTTTAAAGCAATCACTATAAAAACTAGAAGAGAAGCAACAACATAATTGCATGCCTAAAAAAATCTAAGAAAGTATAGGAAAAAAATCACTAGCATTAATGAGCTATTTTGTTAAGGTGGCTAAATACAAATCAAACATTTAAAAAATTTATCTTTATTGTTGAAAGTGCTATTTATGTCCCCTTCCCCCCTCCATCCAACTCCCCACCCCCAGCCTCCCCTGCACTATTGTCTGTGTTCATGGGTTATAAACCATTTGAATTTTGCTGCAGGGAATCTATTACATAGGAACAAAAACACTAGCACATAAGGACATATACACAAGGATGTTATTTATACCACTGTTTGTAGTGGTAAAAAAAAAAACTGGAAGGAAAGGGAATGTCCATCAGTAAAGGAATAGTTTAGCAACTTGTAGCACATCTGTGACATGGACTATTATGCAGACATTAAAATGAATGAAATCTAAACCAGTAGAGTTGAAGGATGTTACAATGTTCTTTGAAGTGAGATAAGCAAGATGCAATATTTAGAAATTATGCTTATTATTATTATTATGCTTATGTGAACCTAGAAAAAGGTATGGAAAGATACACAATTGTTCTTTTGTTGTTGTTTTTTTTCCACTAGTTACCTTTGGGAGCAAGAAAAAATTAGGGAGCAGAGAATGTTAGGGAAGAAGTAGTAGAGGAAGATGGCAGAGGAGTAAAGAACAAAATAAGACTCAGTAGGTACAGGACAAACTTGGAGCAGGTGCTTAAATCTAAGAAGCCATCAATAATTGATGAAAGAGACCTAATATAGTCACACAGAGGAGAATCTAGAATAGTGGTCTTAGTTTCTTATGTAAGTAGAATAATGGACTGATAGAACCTTTTGTTTACTATATATATTTATATATATGACTGAGACTTCATTTTTTAGAGCAGTTTTAAATTCACAGCCGACTCCTTACCAGTGGAAACTGTGAGATAATAAATGAGTGTTGTTTTAAAATACTGAGTTTGCAGTAATTGGTTGTACAGCAATAAAAAAATAAATACAGCAGACTTCCTGTTTCCAGGCACTATCCTGTGTAGGCAGATATATATAACTTCCATTCAAGTGTAGACAGTGCCGTTCTGGCCTCTGGCTAACTGTGAGACCTGTTTCCTGACCTCCAGCCCTTGTGTTGGGCATGTTCTACCTCATGCCATCAGTGATGTGAAAGCCTAGTCATGATCAGTAATAACACAGTGTTATTACTCCATGCTCTTACTCTTCCCCAACCTTGGGTTATTTCTCTATTTCTAGACCAAAGAGAATTTGCTTTCTTATTTTAAGTATGCTATGTATTTAAAAATAATTTGAAATGTTCTATCTATAGCGTTTGTGTATTTAAAGTTGAAGGGGGAAATTGAGGCATAATCTTTTTCAACCTGTAGAGCTAAGAGATCAGACTGAATAATGAAAGAAGATCATTCATTGAAGATCTTCAGAGGGCTCTCCAACAAAAAGGTCTGATTTTTATCAGTACAAATGCTCCCAAGCTTCATTATGGACTAGATAAGGAGGCTGAAATTAAATGTGGCCCAAATTTACCTGCCTTTCCCAGGTTTCCAAGTCTGTTCTTTGCCCTTTCCTAATATACTACCTGCATCCATCAAGTATTAATGGTTTTACATACATTAAATAAATAATTCTGCAGTAAAGTTTTCTAATCATATGTGGAGTGATCAAGGGGGACTTTTGCAAAGTCTTATAGAAATATAACAAAAGACAGGTCTGACATTAAACAAGAGTGAGCTGTCTAGAACTAAGAATGCTCAATCTGCAATAAATAGGCCAATAAAACAAATGGTCTCAAGAACAATAATACCCTGTAAAATGCTGTACCTTGGAGGAGCCAGTGTCTGCTCTAGAAACTCCTCAATCTTAATGAAGTCTGTTTTCAACTCCTTGTTATACAGCAGGAAGGGAGGATTGGCACCTGGAGCTAAGTCCTTCAGCTCTTCGGGCTTTCTGTGATTATTAAAAATAAGCAGAGTTAGGCCTGTAGATCAGGCACACAGCATACACATACTAACACTGTATGGCTACTTGCCGATTTCAATCCTTCAAATGAAACCTGTCCTGATTTCTCTTACCTGGTCATGTCAACAGTAGTCACATTGAATTTAACTCCTTTAAGCCAGAGGATCATGAAAAGGCGTTGGCAAAAAGGACAGTTTCCAATACTCTCCCCATCACTTCCAGCCTATTAAGATAAAGAAAGGCCTCATTCATTCATTTGCTCAACAAGTATGTATTGAGTGCCTACTGGGAAATGAGCTAGTTGCTAGAGACAAAGTTAAAAATACTTAATCTTATGGATTCTACCATTAGTGGGCAGAGAGAAACAATGAATCAAATAATCTCATTGTATGTAAAATTACAAGTGTGATGACATCATCATCATCATCATAAAGTATATATAGTACCAAGATTTTTATAACCATTTCCTACAACAGACATTTTAAATATTCCAAAATTTTTGCTACTCTACTTCAGCAACAAATATTTTTTGTCATATAACTTGTTGTACCTCTGAGATTATATCTTTAGAGTTAACCTTTAAAATGGGAGTGCTGAGTAAAAAGTATGTATATTTCCAATTTTGATAGATCTTGCCAAATTTCTTTCCTGAAAGGTATGCCATGTGTTCATTGGCTATTTGATTTCCTTATTTTATGAAGTGTTCATGAAAATTTTACATTTTTCTATTAAGGTGATATTAAGGTGATGACTTTTTGCTTATCGATTTGGAAAAATTATTTGTATACTAAAGATAGTAACTGTTTTAGTACACATTACAGGTAATTTTACAAATGCATATCTCATGTAAAATTTAAATTTTACATAAAATCCATCATTCTTGTCCTCTATGCAGCCTGGTTTTTCTGATATGCTTATACAGTATATATATTCAAGATTACAAAATTTACTTTATTTTTTAAATAAAGATGTTCTCTTGTGTTTTTTTCTAGTACCTTTGCAGTTTAATACTTGCATTTGTTTAATCTATTTGGAACTTATTTTGATATAAGAAGTGTAGAGGGACTCCAGCTTTATTATTTTTACAAATAATTAATAGTTGTCTTAACACCAGTTGTTAAAACCACTTCGTTGCCCAGTGGTGTGGCGCAGTGGTTGAGTGTCAACTTATGAACCAGGAGGTCATGGTTAAATTCTCGGTCAGGGCACATGCTTAATCCCTAGTGTGGGGCGTCCAGGAGGCAGCCGGTGTGTGTTCTATCTCATCGTTGATGTTTCTATCTCTCTCTCCCTTTCTCTCTGAAATCAATAAAAATATATTTATTAAAAAACCCACTTTGTAAGTTGTATAATTGTCTAACCATTATGCTGTACACCTGAAATATATAATAATAATAATAATAAACCCCATCCTTCTCCCACTGATTGAAAACAACACACTTTCAGCTTTGAAATTTTATATACACTTGAGTTTATCTGTGGACTCTATTTTTCATTCATTCATTCGTTCTCCTAATAAATATTTACTGAAGAAATAATTATGTTTTTAACATAGAATAGACATTATATATGCAAAAACAGATATTAAAATAAAAAATAGTCCCCCAAAATCACACTGTTTTAAACTGAGATAAAGCCTTTGAAAAGTCTTTGAAGGAAGGACATGCATGTTATGAGAATGTGTAAGAGAGAAATATAGTTTATATGGGGTTTGTCAGGGAGGCGTTTTCTGAGGAAGTGGCATTTTATTTTTTAAACACTTTATAGAAGCTATATAGATAGTAAATAAGGGCATGAAAAGATGTTCAGCATCATTGGTCATTGGGAAAAATGAAACCCACAATGGATTGCCATTACACACACATTAGAATAGCTGAAATTAAAAAGACTGGCCATACCAAGTTTTGTGCATATATACATGTAAGTTTTTTTGATTTATCTCATCCAACCCTCCCTCCCACCTGCCCTCTGAGATCTGTCAGTCTGTTCCAAGCTTCCACGTTGATGGTCTTTTTTTTTTTTTTTTGTCAGTTTATTTTGTTCATTAGATTCCACATGTAAGTGAGATCATGTGATATTTGTCTTTCTCTGACTGGGTTATTTCACTTAGCATAATAATTTCTAGGCCGCTCCATGCTATTGCAAAAGATAAGAGATCCTTTTTCCATCTGCATAGTATTCCATTGTGTAGATGTACCACAGCTTTTTTATCCACTAATCTACTGATGGGCACTTGGGCTGTTCCCAGATCTTAGCTATTGGTAAGTTGTGCTGCTATGAACATAGGGGTGCATATATTCTTTCTGGTTGGTGTTTCAGGATTCCTAGGATATATTCCCAGAAGTAGGATTTCTGGGTCAAATGACAGTTTCTATTTTATGCAAATTATACCTCAATAAAATGTATTAAAATAGAGATGTTCAAAAAGAGGAAAAAAACCCTCAAATAAATAATTATGAAGGGTTTGCAGACATTGCAATGACAAAGGTAAGGGTATGGACATGGCAGGAGGTGCCTGAGAGATGGTGAAGAATGAGACCACTGGAGGGGAGGAAGTCAAGGATCTGAGAGACCATAGTATTGGAAGGGTTATCTGTGTAGATATTAAAGTCACCAAGAATTAGGAATAGTGTTGAAGAGAGTGACAATGATCCAGGAGCTAAAATCTTCAAGAAATAAGGGATAATGACCAGGGGTTTGGATGAGTACTATAACAAGGAGGGGTAATGAGTGGTGTAGTCTGATTTTCTGAGAGTCAACCTAGGTATTTCTCTGGATGGAGGTGGCAGAATGGTCTGAAAACAGGAATGAGGAGCAAGGATACCTAAAGAACACCCATCCCATCTCCAGGGACAGTGGCAAGAAGAATGAGGAAGAAAAGGCAGCCACTTTCTTGAGAGGATTATAGCTGATGTAGTGTCCTCATGGGAGATCCAGGTTTTAAACACCTCAATCTTGCCTGGCCAGCAAACTTGCCATAGCTCAGTGGTGAGTATTGACCTATGAACCAGGAGGTCATGGTTCGATTCCTGGTCAGGTCACATGCCCAGGCTGCAAGCTCAATCCCCAGTGGGGGATGTGTAGGAGGCAGCTGACCAATGATTCTCTCTCATCAATGATGTTTTATCTCTCTTCTTCTCTGAAATCAATAAAATTATATTCAAAAAATAAAATAAACAATGTCCCAAACTAAATTCTTTCCCTGTTCTTTACTCCATACACTGACCTACTTTTTCTTTAAGGCTCCTAATTCAGTGAAAGTCACTATCATTTGGTATGGACTGAATTGTGTCCGCCCGCCCCCCCATTCATATGTTGAAACTCTAACATTCAGTGTGATCGTATTTGGAGGTGAGGTCTTCGGGAAGTAATTAGGTTTACATGAGGGCATGAGGATGGTTCTTTTTTATTTTTTTATTTTTATTTATTGCTTAAAGTATTACAAAGAGTATAACATATGTCTCCCCCCCCCCCTTGACATTCCCCCGGCTTCCCCTTTCCCCCAGTGTCTTATGTCCATTGGTTATGCTTATATGCATGCATACAAGTCCTTCGGTTGATCTCCTACCCCTCCCCCCACCTCCCAACCCTCCACAGCCTTCCTGCTGTAGTTTGACAGTCTGTTCGATGCTGCTCTGCCTCTGTATCTATTGAGGATGGTTCTTATGTTGGTATTATGCCTGAATAAGAAGAGACCAAAACACACACTCTCTCTCTCTCTTTCTCTCCCCTCCAATTCAAGAAGGCAGCCACCTATAAGCCAGGAAAAGAGTTCTCACCAGAAACCAACCATGCTGGCATCTGGATCTGGGACATACAGCCTCTATAACTGTGAGAAATAAATGTCTGCTGTTGTAGCCACCCAGTTTATGGTATTTTGTTATGGCGGCCTGAGCAGACAAGACATTATCCACCTAGGAGACCAAACTAGAAACTCGGTAATAATCCTTTTGTTTCACTCTGAATATTTACTAATTCTTGTCAGTTTTTACCTATAAATATTTCCAAATAAGTGCAGTTCTCACATTTTCCATGGCTATTATGTCATTCATTCATTCATTCATTCATTCATTCATTCATTCAATGTTTATTTGATGCTTACTATGTCCAACGCTAGCTTTCCAAGCCCAACCCATCAGCCTCTCTTCATCTCTTGAATCTATATTTCCTCTTTTGCCTCAGTCTGTAGAAGGAAATAAAAGCGACTTCATCTTACAGCAGCTCTGATCTGTCATTTCTACTAGTACTATTAAGGCGTGAGAAGCCATGAGCATAATTCTAGTTTTTAGGTAAATTTTCCTTTCCCTGGCAGTGGGTGCGACACAGAAAATCATGTTTATTGTTGCTCTTTGTGATGTCACGAAGAGGTATGGGAAATAGCCACCAACCTTGGCAGCTGATTTCTTTTGTAACAGAAGTCAGACTGAGGATGCAGTCACAACTAGTGCTAGTGAGTGGAAACATGATTAGGGTTGGGAAGCAGGAAGAAAAATGGCCTCTGATAATAGATACAGCAGGAAGGGTGGACCGCCTTTGGCAAAAGGAAAGGCAAAAACAGTGAAGTGGGGCGGGGGGGGGGGGAATCAGCAAAGTTTTACAGGAAAACTGTAGTTTTTTTTCTTGTTTATAATATGCTGATTTAAAGTGCCATCACATAAAATTTTAGGATGTAAATTTCCTAGCCTGATTGATGAATTATCTACCTCTTAAGTGTCGTTAGCTGGCAAAGCCAGGACATGGTCATTTACTGAAACAACTTATTTCTCTTTGTCTTTGTGATCTAAGTTTCTAAACATAAAAAATAATAATAGCCACAATACCTGACATTTATTAAGTGTTAACTATGTTAACAACTCCTCTGTTTTCCATATCTGTTTTATTTAATCCTCACATTGAAGATGATCCTGTGTGGTAGGTTCTGTTGTTACTCATGTTTTACAGATGAGGAAATTGAAACTCAGAGAAGCTGACTTGCTTAAGTACCCTCATTTAGACAAGAGTTGATGACATATGTATTCTTTTTAATAAAAATATGTTTTTATTGATTTTAGAGCGAGGGAGATAGGGATAGAAACATCAATGATGAGAGAGAATTATTTATCAGCTGCCTCCTGCACTCCCCACACTGGGGATCGAGCCCGCAATCTGGGCATGTACCCTGACCTTCTGATTCATAGGTCAACACTCAACTACTGAGCCACACCAGCTGGGTGACATATGTACTCTTTTCATGTAGCAAATCCAGGACTATCTACTCCAGAACTTATATTCTTTAATGCAGCTTTCTCTCATCTAATAGTTTTGTTGGATTTAAAAAAATTAATTGGTTGTTATGTTAGTTCTAAGAGAGTTTGAAAATGGTCTGAACATTCAGAGTAGAGTATCATCTCTTTCTTCTTTCCCACATAGACAACATGTTTTAGACAAACATTACATATAGAATTTTGGCCAAGTGTTAGATGCTATCATGTTATGTACAGACCTACTAAAAGTTAATTTTAGACTGTTTGGTAGAAAACACAAAAACTTCATTTAACAATGAACAACAAACCAGTAAGATAAATGCTGCAGTTAGATAAAATAAAATGTGTTAGAAAATCTTTTGTTTTTAGTATCTGGATATAAATCTTGCCCAAATCATACAGAGCTGTAAGGCAATGTTTCATTGACTATATGGAACACATAGGTGATGTGATATAAATTCTTAATTATGATAGGGAAGTGCTTAATCTCTTACAAGAATCGCATCAGGGCCTGGGGAAGAAGTTGTGGTAGGGTTTTTAAGCTACAACCAAAGGTATCTGGGGAAATCACAGACTCATTTAATCTTTAGAACAATACCTCATTATCTATAAATGAGATACCACTGGTGAAGAGCAGTGCTTTTAAAAGTTACTCATCAATATTTTTCATCCCTCTCAATTTCTGTGTCCCCTTCCACCATCTTCTATTAAACTTCTAGATATCTGAGGATCACATCTTAAAGCAAAGCAAAACAAAAACCTGGACCAGATGATACTCAAGATTCTACCAGGAAACCTTTCATCTGTATCAGTGTCATTAGATAAGCATATACCTAAAGGATTCCATCTGATGAAATTCTGGAAAATTTTTGAAAAACTTGCCAAATTGAAAACAATCAAATAAGATTAGATATAGCTATTTTATTTTTAAAATTAAATTTAAATTTACCCATCACCTTTTATCCCCTTTATGCCCTCTACCACCTCCCCTCAACCTCCTTCATCCCGTAATCACCACACTGTTGTCTACAGACATAGCTATGCTAAGGAATTGGAATCCTGTCATTCACTGGCCATGTGACTTTGCATGAAGTTAGTTTCTCTTTGCTTTAATTTCTGTATCCATAAAATATGGTTACTAATAAACCACTTAGCACAGTGCCTGCCATATAGTAAATAAGTGCTTAGTTATTTTAACCTGAAAGTTATTATTTAACTCAACTTTTGTTCATCCAAAATATGCTTTCCTAACTTCTCCTGTCCAGATTACCACCCAAATATGGGCAAACTATGAAGATAAACACACAGATCAATGGCAACCACTGGTTATGGTGTGATTAGATTGAATACACTGTTTAGATAAAAGAAGCACTTTTGTTATCCTATGAAAAGACATTACCTCTGGTTTGGAATTGGTATATGTGAAAGGCCAGTTAGAAAATCAAGGCTTATTTATATCATTTCTGAGCGGTCACATGTTTTGCTAGAATCCAGAGATAGGACAAGTAGTTCTTATGCTCCATGGTCCAGCGATCATTTGTTTGGATTGCTTTGCAATGCAAGAATTCAAGGGTTTCTCTGCCACAATTTTGAACAGGAAGGTTGATTATGTCTTTGGTGTATATATACAACCAGTTGTTAAAAATTTTTAAATGATTGGAAAAATATTACTTTGGCTAACTGAAGTTTAAGCTAACATTTGGTAAGCATACGTTATTTTATGTCTTTGTATGCCATCAAGGGGCTATATAGTTTTAGAGGTAAGTTACTTATACTTTATTACCTGAGCTTACTTATCTAGAAATGGTGACACTATTACTACAATGATGAATACTGTTACCACTATTGTTACTGATCTACTATCACTACTAATACTATAGCTCCTAAGTTTTTGGTAGCACTAAATGAGACAATATATGTAAGTTGTTAAAAAGCATCAAGCATGATATAAGAGTTTGTTACCATTAGCATCCTGAATACCTCCAATAGTCAATGAAAGTATAGAGAACAAATAGTTAATATAAGCAAGGATTTAGGAAATTATGTAATTTTTACTTGGAATAACCCACGCACAATTATTTCTCTTTTTCTCTTGATGAGTTAATTTAGAAACACATGTTCCTTTCTCCTGCTTTAGGGGTTTTCCAAAGGGCTTTTCTGAAAAGTTAAGGCCAAAAAAAAAAAAAGCACCACCAAGGCAGACCATAAAGGTAACATAGCATTCTGAAATGCCTCCTTCTCACATAACAGGCACACAGACCCTTGGCTTTGTTCTCCTATAGTGTCCATGTGAGCCTGCTGTGATGTTTGTCCATTGTGGGAGCATTTTAGAAAGCTCTGTCTGGGCCATGTGTGGGAATGGGGCTCTCCGGCTATTCTTGCACCTCTTCTCCCCCCCTTCAGGCCTTCTAAAACCTATCACATAAAACGCAGAGTGTGAGAGCTGGAAAACTCTTACGGATCATTTTGTCAGCCTCCTGCATGGCATAGATGGAGAGAGTGGAGAGGGAGGAAGGGGTTTGGCCAAGGTTACATAGGAAACTACTAAGAATACAATTTAGTTGCTCTGACTACCAAGCAGTCTAGTGTTCCTTCCACTATGTCTCCGTGCCTTTTCCAGGTGAGATGTTTTCCTGTTGTTATCTAAGAACAACCACACACCCAGGCATCCTTCTGGGACTCAGAATAGAACTACAATTATAAAATTCTTTCCTATCTCTAGCTCAAATGATGCCCTTTTAAGATGAAGCTGAGGCCCAGGGTCAAGAAAGAAAATATTCTGTTGTTATAGCTAGAAAACTTACCTTCACGAAAAGCTCAATCTCGGGATCTGCTTGAATGTTGGGCCTCAGGCTTGCCATCTTTCTGTTTTCACTGCTAGTTGGCAGCCCCTGACTCCTGCACAGACCACAGCACTTGTGAACTTCTTTCTTCCAGTTTCACCCAAAGGCTCAAATACAGTTGGTGCTTTAAGAGAAGAGTCCAGTTTTTAATGGAGTGAGTCAGAGCTGGGGCCAAATTTTCTTCTCAAGAGGTGGGAGGCCGAGAATTCTAGATGCTTGAGAGCACCTCTTGAATTTGTTTTCCTTCTTCCTCTTGACCTATCATTTGAATCAAGGAGGAGCCAAAGGGGTGTGTTTAAACTGGCTAGCTAGCAAGATGAGGGTGTTCCCACCGATGTTTCAACGCCATGAGTCAGCAGAGGAGAAACAAACACACACAAACACACACATGCAGTTCTGGCTTCTATATATCAAGTACACCAGATGTTCTCTCGAGCCTCCCTTTGAGTCCTGGGCTCTATGCCCAGAATATGGCCTCTTATTACTGTTCCTGTAACCTGACAGCAACAGAATGCTCTTCCAGGAAAAGGACCAGAAGTGACTTGGGTTTTATCATTGAAAAGGATGTTTATCTAACAATACTGACTAAAAGAGGGTTATAAAAGTGTATGTACTTCATCAAATGTCCCCTACCCCCGATTCTACTGCTTCCACTGTGAGATTTCCCTTCTGGGTTGAAAATTTCACTTCTCTCTTCTTACCCAGGGAATGTTTGCTGGGGAGGTTGAGTCTGGGGGACATCTTCTGAATGTCCCACCTCATTCTTTATCTGGGAAGGACTGGGACGGATCATTCCTTGCTTTGGCATCTGTGTTAGGAACCACAAGCAGTTGTGTATCTCTGCTTGGCAACCCTGGGAACAGCAGTAAAATATCCAAACATCACTCAGCAACTGCAGTGCTTCTAGAAGCTGTGTTTTCTGCCTGCCAGGAAGGGGTGGAGGGAGGTGGTGCTGGATTAATGCACCTTTCTGGTAGGAAGAGTCTCTGATTAGAGCCAAAGTGAACATAGATCCACCAGTTGGACACCTTCGTGACCCTCTTTCTACAACAAGAAGTATTTCCCCTGCTCATATAGGCTGTACATGCACCTGCCATGGACCTCATGTAAGAATTTACAGAAGGGGCTCTTGACAAAACCCATCTGTGCACACCGGCAGGTTCCATGTCAGGAGTGGCTGAGATGAGGTGGGTGTCCTTCAGGGCACGGGACCTGATGGTTTCCCAAACGGCTGATAAATGAGAGGGAAGTGGTGGTAGACGTCTGCTGACTCATCTTTGAGGGCGAGTCTAGGACTGGCTGTTTGGCAGGACCTGGGGGATGCTTTGGTCATATTTTTACTCTGTTCATTCATTCTTTTATTCCAAAGTCAATCAATTAATGCTTACTTTGTGCCAGGATGCTGATCCACTTGTTGCGATTGGCAGCACAGGGGACGGTAAGTTCAGGAGGACAACAGGAATTCAACTTGAAGCATGCTGAGTGGGAGGCATCCTCACTCTTCCCCATTCCCTGAATCCAATCAGTGCAAAATCTTGTCACTGCTGCCTCCTGGGTATTTTTAAATCCCACCCACTTCTGTTTGCCTGCCACTGCTACTCCAGATTTCAAGCCAGAATCATTCTTTTTTGGTGATTAAAAAAAAATTTATTTTAGAAGATCCAAATCATTGCTAGGCCCTCAGTCCTCATGGGAAAAGCACCACTCCCACCATCACCACAGCAGCAGCAGCACCAACAACATACAACAGCCCAAGGAGCTCTGTATGATGCCTAATAAACTGTCAAAGTGATGAACTATTTTTTCTTTATTTTATTTTATTTTATTTTGTTTTTCCCATCACCATTTATCCCCCCATATACCTCTTCCACTTCCAGACCCCTCCCCTGACAGTCACCATACCATAAATTCTTTCTCTTCTTTTGCTCAATCCCTCTAACCCCCCAACACTCCCTCCCGCTAGAGCTGTCTGCCTGCTCTCTATCTATGAGTCAGTCTCTATTTTGTTTCTTAGTTCAGTTTGTTCATTAAATTCCACATATGAGTGAAATCATATGATACTTGTCTTTCTCTGACTGGCTTATTTCACTTAGCATAATATTTTCCAGATCCATCCAGGCTGTTGCAAAGGGGAAAATTTTCAACCTTTTTAAGGCCGAGTAGTATTCCATTGTGTAAATGTACCACAGCTGTTTTATTCATTCATCTACGGATGGACGCTTGGCTGCTTCTGAATCTTTTTCCTCTGCTTTTCAGGGTATTTAAAAAAATCTCGTTTGGAGATATAATTTACACACCATAAAATTGACTCATTTTAAGTGTACACCTTTAAGGATTCTTAGTAAATTTGTTGAGTGGTGCAACCACGACCACAGTGCAGTTTTAGACATTTCCATCACCTCAGTGACATCTCTCTCTTACCCATTCGCACTTAATCCCTGTTACCACCCCCAGCCCCTAGCAGCCATTAATCTGCTTTCTGTGCCTATGGATTTGCCTATTCTGAACATGTTATATATGCAGTCATACAGTATGTGGTCTTTTGTGACTTTCTTCTGTTACTCATCACGATATTTTCTTTAAAAAAATATATTTTTTATTGATTTCAGAAAGGAAGGGAGAGGGAAAGAAAGAAATATCAATGATGAGAGAGAATCATTGATTGGCTGCCTCCTTCACTCCCCCACACTGGGGATCCAACCCACAGCCTGGGCATGTGCCCTGACCGGGAATCAAACCATGACCTCCTACCATCTCACACCTGTCAGAATAGTGATCATCAACAAATCAACAAACGTCAAGTGCTGGCGAGGATGCGGAAAAAAAGGAACCCTCGTGCACTGCTGGTGGGAATGCAGATGGTGCAGCCACTGTGGAGAACAGTGTGGAGTTTTGTCAAAAAACTAAAAATGGAACTCCCACTTGACCCAGTGATCCCACTTCTAGGAATATATCCCAAGAAACTAGAAACACCAATTAGAAAAGATATGTGCACCCCTATGTTCATAGCAGCACAATTCACCATAGCTAAGATTTGGAAACAGCCTAAGTGCTCATCAATGGATGAGTGGATTAAAAAACTGTGGTACATCTACACAATGGAATACTATGCTGCAGTAAAAAAGAAGGAGTTCTTACCATTTCCAACAGCATGGATGGAACTGGAGAGCATTATGCTAAGTGAAATAAGCCAGTCAGAGAAAGATAAATATCACACGATCTCACTCATTTATGGAATATAATGAACAACATAAACTGATGAACAAAAACAGATCCAGAGACAGAGAAGCATCAATCAGACCGTGAAACCTCAGAGGGAAGGTAGTTGAGGGCGGGGGTATGGGGGAGAGATCAACCAAAGGACTTATATGCTAGCATATAGGCCTAACCAATGGATACTGACAACAGGGGGGTGAGGGCATGAATGGGGGGGATAGGGGGTAATGTGGGGATAAGGACACATATGTAATAACTTAATAAAAATTATTTTTAAAAAAACATAGATAGCCAAGATATTTTTGAAGAAGTAGAACAAGAAGAAGGGGGTGTGGGGAGAGTGGGAGGAAGAGAAATGCAGACTTTCTACCAGATATCAAGGCTAACTGGAACTACAGCAGATTCAGCCAGAAACTTACTATATTGCAAAAGTGACCCTGAAGAGTTTGTGGAAAAAGGACTGTCTTCTCAATAAAAAGCTCTGGGACAAATGAATGTACATAATGGAAAAATCAGTTCCCAGTGGATTCTTGACCTAAGTGTCAAAATCAAAAGAGTAGAGCTTTCAGAAGATAATATAAGAATATTTTCATAACCTTAAAATATGGAACTATTTTTTAAACAGAATGGAAAAGCACTAACCAAGAACAAAAAGATTAATACATTACTCATCAAAGGACACCTTTAAAGTGTGAAAAGCAATTCATAAAATAAGGGAAAGAATTGTAACTATTTTTGTTGTAAATCTTTCTAAAAATCACGATCCCTTTTCTTGTGTTTTTAAAATTAAATGCCCTTAATAAAATATTTTGGCCATCTATGAAAAACAAACAAACAGACAAAAACCATGACCTACTGGTTCATAGGTCGATGCTCAACCACTGAGCCATGCTAGCTGGGCCTCATCATGATATTTTTAAGGTTCAGCCATATTGTAGTATGTATATTACTCTTGATGGCTGAAGAATGTGCAGTCATATGTATATATCACATTTTGTTTATCCATTCATCAGTTGATTGTTACCATCTTTTTTACTACTGCGAATAGTACTGCTATGAACATGTGTATGCAAGCTTTTGTTTGAACACTCATTTTCAGTTCTTTTGAGTATGTACCTAGATATTGAATTTTTGGGTCATGTGGTAACTCTATGTTGAACTTGTTGAGTAACTGCTAAATTATTTTTCACAGTGCTGTACCATTTTACATTCCTTCCAGCAATATATGAAAATTCAAATTTCTCCACATCTTCACCAATACTTGTTATTTTCTATTTTTGGTTTTCTTTTTAAAAATTATAGCCATCCTAATGGGTGTGAAGTGGAAACTCATTGTGGTTTTGATTTTCATTTCCTTAAAAACTAATGAAGATGAGCATAGTTTTATGTTCTGTTTGGTCATTTGTATATCTGATTTGGAGAAATATCTACTCATGCCATTTGCTCATTTTTAATTTGAATTATCTTTTTGCTTTTGAGTTGTAAGAGTTCTTCTGGATACTAGACTTTTATCAGATATATGATTTACAAATATTTTCTTCCAGTCTATGGCTTGTCTTTTAATTTTCTTAATAGTATCTTTTAAAGGGCAAAGGTTTTGAATTTTTATAAAGTTCAATTTATCATTTTTTATGGGTTGTGGGTTTTTTTGGTGTTGTATTTAAGAACTCTTTACCTAGCCCAAGGTCATGAAGATTTTTTCCAATATTTTCTTCTAAAATTTTAATAATTTATATCGATTGTCTTTTTATTCTGTATTTTATTAATTTTCGCTCTGATTTTTATATGTTCTTTCCTTATAACGATGTTGGGCTTCCTTTGTTCTTTTTATAGTTCCTTAATGTGTAATAATAGATTGTTTATTTAAGTTTTTTATTGTTTCTTGAGATAGGTCTGTAAACTTCCCTGTTAATATCACTTTTGCTACATTACAAAGACTTTGGTATGTTATATTTTCATTTTCATTGGTCTCTTGACTTATTTTGTTTCTTCATTGACCCAATAATTGCTGGGTAATATGTTGTTTAATCTCCACATATTTGTAATTTTTTTTTTTTAGTTT